TCCTTTTGGCATTTCACCTTCCTCGGCTGAATAATTTATCCTAGTCAGTGGGATATTAATTCCAGCCTGCCTCATGAATACTGAGGTGAAATATTCTTTCAGGCTGTTGGTAAAATTGACCTCATCTGTCACAAAACTTCTCCTGCACTTCAGTGGGGCCACTCGCTTCTTTTCTACGGTAACAGACTTCCCTAGTCATTATTCCATGGCTAGGCATGTATGCTCATGTATAACCTTATTGGAGGGAAACAGATACAAAACCATTAAACATCTAAAGCAGATTTTCAAATATTGGAAATTGCACCCGCATAATACAGCAAAGTGAGACTGCTTATGGGGGGTGTCATAGGAAAATATGTTAATGTATAATATCAGGGCACAGAAGAGACTAAGATTCACAGTTGGATATGGATTTTAACAGTGTACTAAATCACTGTCAGAGTTGTAGTGAATACACTTCAGACAATTCAAGCTGGACATGAGCCTTTGGCACAGCGTTTACTAACCCCACAGTTTAGGGGTCTTCTTGGACCGATACAAATGTTTGGTTCTCTAGCTGAACTTATGGATTGGCTAACAAACCAGATAACCTGGTATTGTATGTTCCCCTAAAGTGGATCAAGCCCCAGTTAACTCCTCTCCTCTGTCACATTTGGAAGGGCCCCTTCCATAGCTAGGTTGAGGCTCAATGATTCAAAGACTTGCCCCAGAATGATGTAAACAGTCCAATGTTGAGTGTTAGGCCACTGGTTCTCAAAATTTGTTTACAAGTGATTCAAGCTCTTGTGAGAACGGGTATTTCTACTTGTAATGACACATTAAAAGTCCTTCAGTAAAACCAACAAAGAGACCATACCCAGACATGGGCACATACTGGGGGCTCCATGGCTCTTTATTTTTTTTACAAAGGGGGTACACAGTTTAACCACTTGCTGACCGGGGTGTTTAGACCCCCTTCCTGGTCAGGCCATTTTTCTGTGTTCAGCGCTGCGGTACTTTGACTGACATTTATTCCGTCATGCAACGCTGTACTGAAATTAATTTTATACCATTTTTTAGGGACAGATAGAGCTTTCTTTTGGTGGTATTTAATCACCACGTGTGTTTTTATTTTTTACTAGATAATGAAAAAAAGTACCGAAAATGTAGGGGAAAAAAAACTGTTTTCCCTACGTTATGTTATAAAACAATTATTATTACCCAAATTTTTGGCAAAATATAAAAGACAGGGTCACGTCGGGTAAATAGACACCAAACATGTCAAGCTTTAAAATTGCGTGCGCCCACAAACTCGCAAAAACTACCATACCCAAAATTGGCCATAGGCGACACTTTAAAAGCTTTTACCGCTCATCATTTTAGTGTTATCAGTGATTGATGGCCCTAAATTATTGCTCTCATTGCGACGCTCGCGACGATATGTAACATGTGCGGCGTAATGGATGCAATCATCATTACCGCACGTAGGCGCACTCGATGCATGTGTATGTGGGGGGCGGGGGACTTAAAAATTTGTGTTTTTTTTATTACCTTTATAATGTGACTTTTAATTTTTTAATATTTTTTTTAACTAATTCTTTTAAACCTTTTTTTTTTCCACTTAGCTTTATTGCCATCACATAGGAGACTAACAAGCCCCCTTTGTGATAGCAAATTTTAAGTGTCAGGTCCTCTTTATGGAGACATCAGGGGTCTCTAAGGCCCCTAATGTCACCTAGGGACCCCCAGAGTAGCTGATGAAGCAAACACCTGCTTCACCAGCTTCTCTCCGGTTTCTGTACCGGAGAGTGACACTGAATGCAGGCAGTGATGTAATACACATCACTTCCTGCATTCAGAAGAGGAGATCAAACAGAGCTTGTGTACTGAGCTCCGTTTGATCTCCGGCCGCAGAGCTGCTGTGCTGGTCCCGGGCTCGCACCGGGCACAGCGGAGATCGGGATCGCCAGCAGCGGCTGCAGTGGAAGTGGGGGGGGGCGCACACCTGCATGCATATTACAAGCGATCGGGCATCTCTATAGATGCCCAAACGCTTGTATGTAAACAGCCATCTCTGGCTGTTTACATTCCAGGCTGATTTCAAAACGCCCACCCGCATTGGTCACAAACTGAATCAAATACCATATGTGCTAAAAAGCACACAAAAAAAGATTCAGAGCAAGTGTGCACGGGTCTGTCTGCGACCACGATCTCGACTAGAGGAAGACACGACCACGTGTCAGAGCAGGGAAGCTGAAGTCCAAAGACCTGTGGCACTCCTTACCGGAACTCCTAAACCTATACGAGGGTGCTTGCAATGTGCCTTCAGCATTAAGCACCAGTACTTTCAGAGGAGGTGCCTTCTTTTCTGGGGAACATTGCAGGGGCCATAGTAGTAACAGACAGCATGCCTGGCGTTCTGGGCTTTGTATTTCTGGAAAGGGACAGAACCAGAACTCCCTTCAACAAGGAGGAATGATCTCTGTTCCAACACCCTGCAGGAGCCTTAAGTGACGTTAACGCATGACTGGGATGCATCCGATCAAGAAACAAAAGACTGACATAGCTATTCTGATAAAAACACACTTCTGGACAGAAACCTGGACTTCCCTTGGACAGCCTCTGCCTTCTGGTGCTGAACAATTCAAGATTTGCAGATAGAGTCGAGAGGAATTTCAATAAAATCTTTGCTTCAAGATGTTACATTTTACTTTTCATCATGCAGGAATCAGCCAACTTCCACTAATGTGGAGCAGACCTTCATAATGTGGCTTTGAAGAGTATGTATGTAAGACTTCAGCAAAATCTGACAAATTGTCAAAATATTAAGCGGAATTTATCAAAACTGGAGCAAATTCTGGAGCAGTTGTGCATGACAACCAATCAGCTTCTCTCTTTCATTTTCAAATCTTAACTGAACAAACTGAAAAGAGAAGCGGATTGGTTGCCCTGGGCAACTGCTCCACATTTTGATAAATTCCCCTTGATGTGTTGCTTCCAGAACTGTGCCACGTTATTAAACAAGAATTTGGTAAAGACTCAAACAGCCAACTAAGACTGTGCCGCCCCAATGGGGCATAGAAGTTTGTTTAGATAGAAGTTTTATATAGATTGCTTTCTCTATAGCATTTTCTATGGACGTTTATATGTTAGTTCAAATGCTGACATCTAGTGGCCTTTTGTGATATTGCAGCTGTTTTTATGTATTCCTTTCCTGATATATGACACATTTCCTTTGTATGTAAGGCCCCACCCTTCTTCCTGAGTGCAGTACTTCCTGTGTCATGGCCACAGCTAACAGCCACATGTAATAAGGACACATGTATTCTGCACAGTACGCTAGGAAAGGCATCATCTTTTGACCGCATAATACTGTAACCATTCATCGCTGTTATCCTGTTGTCTTCACGTTCAGAATAAAGCAACCTTTGTGGACGAACACGGTATTGGTGAGTTCAGCTATCTGACAAGGATTGTCCGCAGTGATTGTATCTGCTTATACAGGCCAGGCTTAGAGGTCTCAACAAGGGATATATCGCTATCACAACAAATCGGAGTCAGAATAAAGACAAAAGTAAGGATGGCAAAGTTAAAATGAAAAACAAATTCTCCCAAAGAAACTGCGATTCCCAAATATTGACAGAAAGTGTAGCTAGTACAAGGACCTACTGTACACCACGAGATCCCGGGTACCATAAATATGTCCCTTTTCAGGTAGCGGTAGTAATAATGTCCATCTTAAACTTTCAGTTGGTAAGAAACGTGTTCAGGCGCCTAAGACTGATGTCTGCTATGTAAAGCTAGTCATATTCTACAATATGATTGTACAGTAACCTGTATCTGTACAATCTTTTTTAGATTTATCAGCATTGTATAAAATGAGAATACACTTGCCAGGTGATGCTATTACTTCTTGGTGCTAATTGTTAAAAACGGTCCTTTCCCTGTGACCTCAAGCAGTAAAAGAATACAGACGTCTCCTGCTGAATGGAGCTGAAATCACAAATCATGGACCTACCATGCATTTGACTTACTGCGACATCCAGCACAGAAGACAAAAACATATGTGAAACGCAAAAACAGAGACGCTAGCACCAAGTACAAAAATTCTTCCCCGCTGAAGAAATAATTCCCCGTAGAGCCCCCCATGGTCAAAAACCTCTTTACCCACCCTTGTTAAATGACAAGAAAAACACTGAAGGCTTGGGGAGGTGGGGTATATAATTCTTCTAATTCCTGATAACTTAGCAGACAAGCAAGTCAGATGAGGATAATATGGACACTTAAAGGATAATTAAACCCTCATCGATTTTTACATATATCTACTGCTAGCAAGCAGTAGCTATATGCAAAAACATTTAAAAAAAGTTAAGAGGGTTTAAACTTACCTGTGTCTCCACCGCGCACTCCTGTCTTAAGATCTGAAGGTTCTCGGGTGGCCGCAAAGGATCATGGGGCTGGCGCATGCGCAGTACATATCTTCGCCCGGGAGACGAGGAGAGGCACAAGGTAAGTCAATGCAGGCAGCATGCACTCGCACAGACTCCGGGGGACAGGAAGTGCCAGGAAGAGAGGGAAGTCAGCATTGGATCAGAGACTTTAGCCTTTATCGTCACTTTAAACCCACCTCCAAATTACAGTACTATGCTTGCACAGCGCTTCTGAAAATACGTACAAAATAAAACATTCCCAGTTGACAAAAAATCTTTTGTGTGGTTATTTTCATTATGTGTATTGGTTAATATTAACCCACAGAACTCATTTATAAGGAGGTGGAGCAACTGGGTAGACTGAACTCTTCCTGACCACTGCAGTTGGCGAACCATTGCTCTTAGTTTTCGCCTTGGAATATCCCATTGTGAAGAACAAGCTTTGAAATATAATACATTTTCAGTTATCCATTCCTGTTGAAGATTTCAGGAATAGAAATGTGGTATTTCTATAAATGTTCCACAAAGCAGCAGAACGTGTGCAGTTTATCATTCTGTAGCTTAATTTGAATGTAAATGAGGCTGACTTACTGCTATTGTAGCAGGTTGCGAGCACGTTTCTGTCTGCTGGGCTAGCGCTGATCCGCCAGATTTCCCCCGCATGGTGAAGTAGAACATTCTTATTGATGATATTATTCTCATCGTCAAAGTCTATAACATGGATCTAGACATGAGAAAGCAAAAATGGAGAAAATAAACAGTAGAGCATATAACTTTGCTGTTGGTGGATGTCAGGTTTAATACAAATATAAGCAAAATGGTCAATTTAACATATAAATCTAAACATCTGATATTATGGTTGACTTAGGATAGCAGGGGTATGCAACCTCTGGCACTCCAGCTGTGGTGAAACTAGAAATGCCATCATATATTTGCCTCTGGCAGCCATTGTTTTGGCTGTCAAAGTCTTGCAATGCCTAGTGGGATTTGTAGTTGCACCACAGCTGGAGGGCTGGGCTACACTAACTGAGGAGATAGGAATAATAAGTTCTGACTCCTGCAGCATTATATCATAGAAAATATTGAGACAGGTCAAAGTGAGGTGGGGCAAAAGGGACAAAAAAAAAATCCCTCCACAGAAAAAGGGTAAAAGTATAGTAGATCCTTCTTTACAGAAGACATTTGCATGCCTCACTTGAGTAAAAATTCCTATTCATACTTGTGATTGACAGACATCCGTGGCTGTGATCTATAAAACTCATCAGCCCCCATTCCTCAAGCGTTACAGACTGACAGTCACGGCTCTCTGCAGGGAGATGATCGAGAAGTGAGCCAGCGACTGTATGTTTTCGCTCACTTTCACGATCTATTGAGCCGACGTCTGACCGTTTCATTGTCACCCGTCGGCTCGAACGATGAGAATAAGTGAAAATCACTCACCTCATAGTTCTCCTTTAAAGACATGCATTTTGTTCCTGGCTGGACTGTACGTTACCAGACAGAGCAACAACCCTCTCATTCTTCACCATCTCGGGGGACCCTTAGTGTCTTGACTGCTTTGTTCTGGTGCTACAGGAGTCACTTTAAACCTGAACTAAGCAAGTTATGCAGATAACTTAATGGGAAGCTGTACTAAAAAATAACCACACAGGATGGCACTGCTGATGTCCTTTGGGAAATGCTAGTTACATAGATGTCTCTAGATTTAGTACTTTCACCAATAAGGACAAACATGCAGCTAGTGGAATTAGAATTTCTTATCTCCATAACTGTTTCAGGTCGGATAGGAGTCAGAAAATAACACACTTATTATTTAATTTCCCAGTGCCCCTTCTTACCGTTTGATGCTTTGCACATGTCACCTCTCCCCTTTGATATTAACTTCAAAGGACTGTATATTGATGACCCTTGAAAGTACCCACAGATCCTACCTATAGATAACTTGTATTCCACACACTGACATCAAAGGTATCACTATTATATTACCACAGCAAAGTAAATATGAGAAAATGGTTATACTATCCACACTATTTGTCATTTTACCGAACAGCTGCTTGCACTGAAGACATGCGTATTACGAAAGCGGGTTATTGAGTTTGTTGGATTTGCGTCCTTAATATTGAAGTATATATGGTGTATAGGGCTGCAACAACTAATCGACATAATCGATTATAATTGATTATTGAAAAAGTTGTCAACTTTTTTAATCATCGATTAATCGGCTTCCGATTGGTTGGCCCTGTTCACGGCTCCACACACGCTGCGCGCCACACCTCCTAACCACCTCACGCTCACCGCCCGCGCACATCCACGATCGGCACAGGGACGCCGGGAGAAGAAGTAAGGAGGAGCAGGTGATACTTTACGTATAATGTATTGCTGGGATTTGTTGTATTCCTATATAGCTGGTGGTATTCTCAATTGCGCTGTATAGGTCTACAAATCCCAGCAATAATACATTATACAGTGGTGCAATGCCAAATACCACTAGCTATAGAGGACTACCTATGGCACCCACCTGACTAAGCGTAATATTCGGTTAGGAGTGCGATGGGTACACTGGATTTTGGATTTCGCAGCTAGCTGCACAAACAGGGGTCAGATCTAAACAGACAAGCATCCCTTTCCATCCATTTACCCCTGGCTCCATCCAGGTCCGGAAAAACAAACAGATCAGAGATCTGTGCATGGATGCCCTCCTGATTGGACCATGTGAAAGGCGCCTAACAGGAGTCAGACTGGGCTCTTCAATCATGGAACATATCAAAAATGTGTCACATGATCACCATGGCACATTAACTGATGCACTACATTTTGTCTGGGCATCTATGCAATAAACACCTCTGCTCAGGAAGGGGTTAAGCTGCAATAATGGCTACAAAACCCCCCAAAAACTGCTACTACAGCAAATTGTGAGACAATATTAAATAGATCCTTAATGTGACCAAGATTTGCTGCCTTAATACATTTATAAATTATGACTACAAACTCTTTACAAATATGTAGGTTTCCTTTGTTTCACATATTGCCAATATATTTTGCAGATAATAAAAGGAACTTTGCTCCCCCTCCCTTACAAACTCATATTCTCATGATGGCATGACCTAGTTTCTACAGTCATGATACTTAGAAACTTGGCTTCCCTCTCTATCTCTGTTTTACACAGAGCATGTACAGGATTTAAAGCAGGGGTTCTCTTTTAAAGTTGTACACCTCTATAGCAGAAGGACAACCAATGCATAGTTTGTTTGCCAGGCCTTGGGTCAATCATGCCAATTGGGTTGTCTGGGATCAGTTGCTTAGCAAGGGACCACGAGCATGGCATTCTACCTACAATTGCATTGTAAAGTATTACTGAATGAAAACAAAAGTGCTGATAGGATAACAATAGACTTCAAATGCCCAGCACTTCTCTTGTGCTGCACCCTTTTTGTAGAGTTCCCGGGGCCCCTACTACCACCAAACATTCCCTGAGATAGAGCCTTCCCTAAAGACCTGGGGCGTAACTAGAAATCACAGGGTCCCATAGCAAAATTTTGTAAGGGGCCCTGTGATTTCTAGTAACGCCCACCTGATAAGCTAAACGGCCCACCTGAGAGTGACCCTGCAGAGCCCGCCATAGACTCTCTGACCCTCAGGTGGGCTGGTCAAACCCTCTTACCTGTCAGCCCCGATCCACTGTCTGCCTCCTCCATGGTTGCTGACGGGCCCCGCCTCCTCGGTCGCTGTGCCCCACCTCCTCAATCACAAGACCCGCCTCCTCCATTGCTGGGCCACGCCTCCTCCTTCACTGCCGATGCCGGGCCCAGCCGCCTCCTCCGCAGCTGCTGGCTGTCACTGACTCAGCAGCAGATGTGAGGAGGAACGCACCGCTGCACACATCACTGACAGGTTGTCCGTGATCTAAACAGCAGAGCATTCCTCCTCACAGCCGCCAGTGACAGCAAGCAGCCTGAGATGCCATAGCGACCCAGACGGCCCGCACGGCATCAGGGGGATGTTTCAGCCGGGCCCCCCTGTTCTTCAGGCCCCATAGCAGCCGCCTGGGTTGCTACGGCTATTGTTCCGCCACTGCTAAAGACCGAATACAATTTTGGGAAAGACAAACTACTTAGTACAGTACAAAGGTTTATTTAAGAATATCTTTTAGTGTACAAAAACACTCAAGAAAATTCTATGTTGGGATTCTAATGTCAACACTATATATTACAACAAGACAAAATGATTAAGACATACCAATCCATTTTTATTTATACGATTGATCTAAAAGACATGTCCACATTTTTCAAAATACATGCATAATACTAGAGATGCACCAAAACCATTTTTTCAAGAGTACCAGTACTGATACTTTTCCTCAAGTACTCACCGATACCAATAACCAATAATTTTTTTTTGTGTGTCATGCAACAGTTTTTCTAAAACAACACAGACAAATGATTTTAGGACAGTGATGGACCGGCAGGGCCTAGTGGGTGGGTTTCCTCCCACACTCTAAAGACATTCTGGAAGATTAATTGGCTTTGTCTAAATCAGCCGTGTATGCATGCACGTGAGATAGAGACCTTAGATCAGGGGTGGCAAACACAAGGCCCGCGGGCCGAATCCGGCCCGCCGGACCTTGTAATGTGGCCCGCACAGCAGCCAGGGCTGGTCCGCTATGCCGACTCTGTGCAGAGCAGTGTCTACTGTGTGGTAGCGAGCAGAGCCGGCACTACCACACAGTAGACACTAGAGGGCGCTGGTGGGGGAGGCCAGAGAAACACCTCCTCCCCCAGCCCTCTCTACTCTGCGCTCTTTCCGGAGCTTGCTGGTGCTGTTCCTGCAGCCTGCACTGTCCCGGTACCGGCCGAGATATTAACATATGAATGGGCCGCGGTAATTTGCATATCAATACGTCGCGGCCCATTCACATGTAAATACCGCGGCTCATTCATATGCAAATCGCCGCCCCTCCCCCGCTGCTTAGGAAGAGAAGGGAAGAGAAGACTGCAAGAACAAGGTATGTGTATGGTCAGGGATTTACTCTCCAGATTGTAAAAAAGTGCTGCCTAAATTTTCAGCACTATATAAAATACCTGTAATAATAAACAGTTACTTTCAAAGCATGCTTCTGGTGAGAATGTCAAAGTTGCCAGTTTGCTTATTTCAGCTCTCAACCAAACTTTGCACGCCCCAAATGGTTGGTGTTATAGCGGATCACATGTGCAGCACCATGGCAACTGCAATGCAAACAAACAGAGACCAAAATGGCAACTTTCTTGGATTTAAAGGATAGGAGGTTGTAATCCACAAGTCAAAATGGCCAACAGAGCCAGAAATAGACAGCTAAACTTACACCCAAACCTTCGCCTTTCCTATAAACCCTCTTCTTTGCCCTGCCCCTCCCACCTCATTATTAGTACTTTAAAGTGTATTTCCACTTTTGCAGCCAAACAAGGATGACACCTGTAACGAGCCCCTGCTCGCTCGGTTCCACTCTCCCGACACTCCTCAGATTTCAGACCGCAGCGTCTGATATTTCGGTCGTCCGATAATCCGGGATTCGAACTACAGCTATGTGCTGTTCGAATCCATTTGTGATAGCTCAGAACAAACACCAGGCAGGCTGCATGTAAGTTCAAACAGGAATCCCCTTTATTGGATGCACACACACACTTTTATACACAACAGTTTGAACGCCCCGCCCAACCGACCAACTTCCTATTGGTCAATTGTAAAGTC